TATTGATATAAAATTTTATTCAGAAGAAAAATCACAAATAAATACCTCACCTTTAATATCATCAATGTTCATTTTTGCATACAGTACTTAAACATACATCAATAAAAAGAATTGTTATCACTTTAAAAATATGTAACAATATAATTCAATACTAAAAAAGTCTAACATTTCCAATGTTTTACTGAGCGTTCATAAAAAAAAATGATGTTTGACTGCAGAGTGAGATATTGGACATTGGACCGCTTATGTCACAATGTTGGTAGGATCAGCTAAATCTTATTTTCATCTGTTGGTGTTCGACAGTAACAGAATTGACCAAGTTTAATGCAGTGCAGGTAAAGGAAATTAACATCAGAGAAGCCAGCACGAGTACAGTCACAACTGAGGTAATGTGTAGTAGGCCCCTCGGAGCAAATAGAGAACAAGTATCAGCTGTCAACATGCAGTAGACCTGAAACAAAGTGAGAAAAATTATTACATCACTCATGTCAGCTAAAGGTGCTGTGAGCAAGCTCACAAAATAATAAGGTTATAACCCTGCTGCAATTCTTTGATTTAGAATGTGTAAATGTGACCCTGAACTTACCAAAGTGACTTTGGTTAAAAAATGACAGATCTTTGGACATGAGTAATCTAAGAGTGAAATATGGACATCCAATTTTTCTCCATTAATTCAAAATAATAGATTTACATTTTTTCTGCCAGAGACCTTGAACTTGTCAAAATGACCCTCAGGTCAGAAAAAAATTTTGTAGCAAATTAAAGCTCAGTTACAAAGTTACTGACTGGACAAGAATGTTATCTCTTATCTGCCAGAATGACCTTGGTCAAGGTCAAGACAAACTTCCAGGTCATTAACAATCTTTGTAGCAAGTTAGAGCTTCCAATGATTCTCCATTACAAAGTTACAGCCTACACAAGTGTTTTATACCTTTTAAGCCAGTGACCTTGAACTTGCCAGAATTGCCATGGGCCAAGGTCATGACACACTCTCAGGTCTTCAATAATCTTTGTACCAAGAATGAGCTTCAATGATTCTCCATTGCAAACTGATATCCTGGACAAGAAGTTTATATCTTTTCTGTCAGTGACCTTGAATTTTGACAGACTGTTTGATGGGATCCTGCCAATCAAGTCGGGTTCATCAGGACATTTGAGCAATATAAGCCTTAAAGATTCAACAAACTTTCATAAAATAATTATCGTTAATATTAATAAATTAGTTTAAAACTATACTAAACATAACTATTTACATCATATTGAAACACTGTACTGAACAAAAGTAGTTTTGACCTCGACTTGTTAAGACCATCATTAAAAATATCTTTGTTTCCCCTAACCCGACCCAAAAATCTTAAGTTGGGTAGGTAGGTAGGTAAATTATTTTTTTTTTCTGACAGCAGGTTTGGGAATACATTCTGAAAAATTGAAAAATATCTTTATAAATAAGAAAGAACAAAAGAAACCAATTTTAAACCTAATATCATACAAATGAAGCAACATGTATGGTAAATTAATTCACAAGTCTAAATTAGGAGCCTTCCACCGGCCGAACAAATTTTAAAGGTATTTTAAAGCAAAGAAACAACCTGTTTTCAAGGGCCTAACTAAAGCAAAATAAACTGTCCATCTCAGGAAGCCGTGCCATAAGCAAATTTTAAAGATTTCAACACTATTTGGAAATAGTGTACATGTACATGTATAAAAAATATATAATTCAACCAAACCAAATCTAAAATGATTAAAGTTTCATATATCTAATTTTATAGTCACAGAGTCAATACCCTATAAATAAAAGGAATAATGAAACGACATCTGAATTATATTTATCAAATGAAATAATCATACAAAGACATATTTACAACTCCTATGGTCCTATGTAGTAAAAATAGGATCTTACATGAACTGTTTATTAGATCGAAGCGAATCAAATGCAGTGAAATTTATTGATATGTATTCACAAGGAGCGCCCCTCATCTACTCATGAGCTAGGCTTTGCTATGCTTACTACGTACGTTAATTTTTTAAATACCATCTTAACACTCCTTAGTCATGGTACATTAATTCACGAGATGCCTCAAGAGTGTAGGATTCTAATAAGTTAAAGATATAATAAGATTGATACGTCACCATTGTTTTATAACACGAACTAACCCTCTGTGGCCACATGTTGTCGGCACCAAATGAGAGTAAAACAAAAGCCGCCATTCTGATAAAAAACGGATTTTGATGAAATTGTATTTTATAAATTTGATAAACAATAAAAAAAAAAATTTAAATAATCTTATTAAAAAAACTTTTCAGTCGGCACGATTTAAGTGGGTCGGTCGTGTTAGGGGAAACAAAGGTATTTTTTATTTTGGCCTAATAACAGCTGTGGCTAAAAATAGTGATTGGGTCATGTGGGGATTTTTTCTTTACACAGCAATGACTGTTTGCAATCTAACATATAAGAAAGGATAAGATAGGCTAAGATCCCTTTTTGGCCCCTGGTTTGGGGTGTCTTTTAGAATGTTGCAACAGCTTTTCAGTTAAAAACCTGTTGTCACCCCTGCCATAAATTGAGTATTGTTTCTAAGTTATGGGATACACAGAGGCCACAGGAAGGTCAGGAAATATGTCAGTTTCCGAATTTTCTCATTTTATGCACATTTTCATTGGTTTTACAGCACATTTTGGTTCAGAAAACATAGAGCACAAGCTTGCCTATCTACCAAATTTATATATTTCATACACTAGTATCAGATGCATCTTATGTATAAAAATCTCAGATAGGCAGTCTTGTGCTCTATATTTCCCAAAGTGAACAAGAGGCCCAGGGGCCACATCGCTCACCTGAGCACATTGGCTAAAAGCACAAATCAGTTCAGTATTGAAAAGATTACTTGGGGGGGGGGGGGGGGGCTTGAATTTTAAACTACCTGATGATGCTTCCATGTCAATATAAGAAATGGCTTTGTTGTACTTGAGAAGATTTTAAAAAAAATTTCCCATATATTCCTTTGTAAAAATTTGATCCCCCATTGTGGCTCCTCCCTATCCCAGGGGTCATCATTTGAACAAACTTGAATCTACACTACCTGAGGATGCTTCCATATCAAAATGACTAATCATGGCTTTGCAGTTCTTCTTCAGAGGAAATTTTCCTATGTATTTCTATTTAAGACTTTGATCCTCCATTGTGGCCCCACCCTACCCCCGGGGTCATGATTTGATCAAAATAGAATCTACACTACCTCAGGATGCTTCCATATAAATATGATCAATCAGGGCTTTGCTGTTTCTGAGAAGAAGATTTTTAAAGATTTTTCCTATATATTTCTATGTAAAACTTTGATAGTCCATTGTGGCCCCGCCCTACCCCCAGGGGTCATGATTTGAACAAACTTGAATCTACACTACCTGAGGATGCTTCCATATAAATGACTCATCATGGCTTTGCTGTTCTTGAGAAGAAGATCTTTAAAGATTTTTCCTATATATTTCTACGTAAAACTTTGATCCTCCATTGTGACCCCGCCCTACCCCTGGGGGTAATGATTTGAACAAACTTGAATCTACACTACCTGAGGATGCTTCCATATAAATATGACTCATCATGGCTTTGCTGTTCCTGAGAAGTTTTTTTTGAGGTTTTTCCTATATATATCTATGTAAAACTTTGATCCTCCATTGTGGCCCCGCCCTTCCCCCGGGGGTCATGATTGGAACAAACTTGAATTTACACTACCTGAGGATGCTTCCATATAAATATGACTCATCATGGCTTTGCTGTTCTTGAGAAGAAGATTTTTAAAAGTTTTTCCTATATATTTCTATGTAAAACTTTGATCCTCCATTGTGGCCCCGCCCTACCCCCAGGGGTCATGATTTGAACAAACTTGAATCTACACTACCTGAGGATGCTTCCATGTGAGTTTCATCTTTCCGGGCCCTCTGGTTCTTGAGAAGAAGATCTTTAAAAGATGCTATTAATTTTTCACTAATTCTTTATTATCTCCCCTTGAAAGAGGGCGTGGCCCTTCATTTGAACAAACTTGAATCCCCTTCACCCAAGGATACTTTGTGGCAAGTTTGGTTGAAATTGGCCCAGTAGTTCTGGAGAAGAAGATGAAATTGTGAAAAGTTTACAACGACGACGACGACACCGACGACAACGACAGACAACGGACAAATTTTGATCAGAAAAGCTCACTTGAGCCTTCGGCTCAGGTGAGCTAAAAATATCTCAAATCTGACAAAATGCGACCAGAATTGAGGAAATTCTGGAAAATAACCTACTTCTACACCCTCTTGTGGCCTCTGTGTAAGCTTTGAATCAAAATAAGTGCTGGTTTTAAAACAAGCATCATTTTTAATTCTTACCTACAAACTATCACAATTTTAACTGTGTTCTGATTTTTACATCAGATAAGGGGCCAGATTTGGCCGTTATCATACCTTGTCCTTTCTTTAAAAGTTTTTAGATTATTTATTTGAAGGACTGAAATGGGGGTTCAACAGTTATTTTATCAATACGACCAATTGGTCTTTTACACGACTGGACCACTCATTTACTAGACTGGGTCAAACATGCCTTAGGTCAAACCCTGTTGAACTAGCCAGAGTGACCTTGGGTCTAGATCTTGACACACCAACAGGTCATAAACATTCTTTGTACCAAGTTTGAGCTTCCAATGACCGACAAGTTGGCACCAATAGACTGACAAGGTGATTCTTATATATTCCCCCAACCTATATTGTGGGGGTAGAAGACCAGCATGATGAATATAAGACAGAACATTCAGGATCTAAATGAAAAGTGGGCACTCCTGATACACGTATCAGACTGGAAGGAGATGCTCAATACAAAAATGCCACCTTCAGTGCCACTGGGAAAACCAAATTCTAAGCTGCTACCCAAGTGACATATACTGTGTTCTTAGAGGAAGAATACTGTAGCAGTGTAAATTTTGTAAGAAAGGTGAAAGCTTAGAAATAAAGGAAAGGAAGATACCTGCCCAGCCATGAGGACTGCACTGCCACCATTCCTCCAAAGACAATGATTGTGGATGAGAAGAGATGGGCTGCAGAAAGTGAAAGTGAGCTGCAAAGTGATGACCATCCATTAGTCATCTTCTATTTCACCAGTGGTGGTTAAGGTGCCACTCTATACAGATTATCTGAAAAACAAGGAAATTTCATTGAAAACCCAAAAGACTTGCTGCATTTCTTTGATTCTCAAAGAAAACAGACAGCTATGGCTCAATTAGCAGCCACACATTTCTGAGAAGAATAAAAGAATCCACACAAAGAAAATTTGCCTTTGACCTAAAGCTTCAATGGAAAACAGAGTAAAAAAAAAATATCAGTACTATTAGCACTATTCCATGAGATTTACCTTTGATTAAGTGGGCCATGTCTTCTACCATCAATTCAATCATAAGCTGCTACCAGAACAGTGTGGAAAGTCCTGTCAACTTACTGGTAATTCCTTTTCCTGTCGATGACTGAAAAGCAATGAGTGGAAATTTCAGTGTTGCCTAGTGACTATGAATTAAACATGACAGAAGAAAATGTTTGTTAGAAGATTATAAACCTGACTTAAATAATCTTGCTAGCTAAAATTAAAAGAGTGTTCCAAGGAACACATGTGTCGCCTGATGAACAGCATCATTATTTAAGATTAAAAGAAAATCTAAGGGTGGTCAAATATTATTTGATACAAGCATTATGAGGGCTGTTAAGAGATTATTAGTACATAGTGTTTATTTTTCTTTCCAAGTAATGCCTTTTGGTGAAAAATGGCATATATGTTTAACAAACACTAAGAATTAATAAACGCAACAAATATTTTACAAATATTTTATTTCTTCTTTTCAATGGTATATTAATGGGTAAATAGAAGGGGTACCCGATGCCATCACAAAATCATATATTGAAATATGTAATACCTATGTTCAAACTCCCAGTGGACCCATATATAGCAAGAGCGAAAATAATTCAAATTATATATGGGTATTTATTTTTTCAATTTTATTTCAATTCATTTTGTGCAAGCTTCTTAGAATTTCAATCAGAAATACGGAGATCATAAAAAAATCTAAGCTTGGTATAGATATCTGATTACATCAATAAAATAGATTTTGATGTCAACGCAACACAGCAAGCATACCTAGAATTTTATGTAGCTCTGTTGAGAACTCTTTTCCAGACTAAAAGATCTGCTTAAACAATAACAACTAGTGCTAACTGTAACGGGAACTGTTTCAGATGTTCCCCAAACACTTCCCCATTCTCTTATGGGCCCCATTCATTACAGGCTTCATTTAATTATGCAATTCTTTTGTTTAATATATCTATACTTTATTTTCAGTAGTATTTAATCGAAAAACAACACTGGTATAGTTCTTCGAGTATTAGCCAATTGGATTTCAGCGCATGCTAGGCCTGAGACAATTGCAAACTACCTAGTGATATGATACATATTATGATACGGTCGTGCGATATACAACAAGTACCATGATACAGCTGTCACCAATTGAATTAAGCTTTATCTTAACATATAATTCTTTGCTAACTCCACAGTTATAGAAAATATACAAAGAATATCTTGATAACCCTTATCAAAGTTAATAAAAGGTGGATTTATAGTCTTGATATTGTATTTTTTCTTTGCTACCTTTTTTCAGCCATTTTAAAACATTAAAATTTGTTAGGTTGAATGTAGAAGTTACAAACAAAACAATGAAAATTATCTTCTACTGTATCACAATACATACATGGCGATACGCGTATCGTCAGCCCTTGCCATCAATACGATCGATGTATTGCTGTATTGTTACACCTCTAGCGCATGCACATGCCCATATTTTCTATATATTTCATATTCCTTCCTCGTAAGGAGACTCACAATAAATAGCTATGTCAGAAATCTAAAGATTTTCATTGAAAACTATGAGAGATACAGTCATATAAGTATTAGCAAATCAGAATCCACGTTCTTGCATTCAATTTTCATAGTAGCACAATATAGGAACCCATTACACCTATCTATATTCTAAATCCCATCCAGTTTTGTTAAAAACTAAGAAAGTTAGTACTGTAACAGCCATTTAAAGTTTAAACCAATCAAATTGCAGCACACTTGCATGAGCGTGTTTTCACAATATCTCATATCAAAATGTAGAGCCTTGATGTGTATGACTATGTTTTAAATTTCAAAGCATTTCATCAAAAAACACAAAGGTTATTGAGATGTTTTGTGTCAGTCAAACAGAGCAAAGCACACATGCAAGCACATGCTTTCTTGCTAATTCAACCACCTCTTCTTGTCTACACCACTAATATAAGTTTATACAATGAAGTTCAGAGCATATCATAAAAAACAGGAAGGTTAATGGTGTTTCAATTGCTTCAGTCATTTCACTCCTTGCACATGCACGCATGTGCATACAAGTGTGGGTAAAATGACCTTCCTTCTGCACATCTACACAACATGCCTGTTAACCCTAAAACGGTTTCATCTCAATCAGTTGAGTAGTTTCTGTGATGACAGAGAAAGAAGCATTAAAGCTTCCAGACTGTCTCAACATGAGTAAAGATCTATGGCTGGCATGAGGTGAAAATGAAGAAGCAATGCTGCTTTAGGTCAATAGACATATGCAAGTTTATAATTCCAATGGGACATGTCTAATTATCCTGTCAATTAGAAATTTTGCATAGCTGTTTTATTTGTTCTTGTTAAAATGTTGACAAATTTTCATGAATTTATGTCTTTCTTTTATGGAGTAAAAGTAAATGTCTCATTAATTTCAAAATAGCCCTTATATAGCAAAGAAAAAAAATCCACAAATAGTAAGACCCATACAGAATAGCATTTATCATATAAAATCTGACAATAGATATATGATTCCCCACCCTTCAAAGCTAAAGTGAATTATAAAATTGAAATTAACAAGAAGTCTGTGAGCCAATGCTCACTAGTAATACCCCCGCTTTGATGTGAATATACATTCTGATGTGAATATACACAAGTTCAGTTATGGACAGACACAAGGGTGAACAAGAAGTTGACATCAGATTCGTACAAATATGAATCCCAACATGTGACATGCCTAAACAAAGAGTGTGCTAAAATTTCAAGCATCTGCAATCAGTAGTTGCTGAGAAAATTGCGACCAAAATTTGTTATGTATGGTACAGACAGACACACGGATAAACAGGAAGTTGACATTGGATTCGTACAAAAATGAATCCCAACATATGACATGCCTAAACAAAGAGTGTGCTAAAATTTCAAACATCTGCAATCAGTAGTTGCTGAGAAAACTGCAAACAAAAGAACAAGGTTCACTTAGGGCCTTTTTTGGCCCTGTGAATATCTGAAAAACTGAAACTGCTTAGTTTTAGTTGACAATGCATTGAATTTCATTTAGACTTTTTGGTGATTGCGAATCTACCAAAAATGACGTAATTTTCTGGCTAGTCAATGCATTATGACGTCATGAAATACATCATTTTCCTCATATCTTGAACAATTCTACAAAACAGCCAATTTTTAAAGCTTTAAATTTTTAAAATTTTTCGATATTTAATATAGAGCGCAGTCTCTGATCTAATAAATGCAATTATTTACTGATAGAACCGTTTCAGAGGATTACAAAACAAGTTTTATTTTTTAGATCAGAGGGTGCACTTTAAAATTCAAGAACATTGCAATTCCATAAAGCTTGTTTTCCAAGACCTGGACTCTAAGGAGAAAAAATATTAGTAGGAAATGAAAGCACTAAGTCCCTACTTTATCTTGTTGTTTAAAATGGAACATAAGGTGTTAGTCAATAAATTGGTATATCTACAGGGCCATTTTATGCATAAAGTGAACCTAGCTCTTTGTTATGTATGGTACAGAAAGACGCACGGATAAACAGGAAGTTGACATCAGATTCGTACAAAAATGAATCCCACCATATGGCATACCTCAACAAAGAGTGCTAAAATTTCAAGCATCTGCGATGAGTAGTTGCTGAGAAAACTGTGCCAAAAAATTTGTTACAGACAGACAGACAGACACACAGACAGACACACAAGGGTAAAACAGTATACCCCCCTCTCCTTCGGAGTGGGGGTATAATTAAAATAATTATTTTTAATAAATATATCTTTATCCCAGATATCTTCCAAAAGAGATTTCAGTCTCTCTTCAGTCTATAACGATACTTTTGGTATACCCATCCTGATGTCTTTTCATTGTATTTATATTTCAGTTTGGGTGGTAATATTGCATACAGTTTCAAAGTACAGTGTCATGAGCTCATACAGTATACAGTAACATGTGATATAAATGCTAATTATCAAAATCCTGCCTCTCAAAATCAAAATTAAAAAAAATAATAATAATTCAATCAACCACCAGAGTGATTTTATAAAGTCAAAGGTCAAGGTCAACTGAATTGTAATGTAACGAACTCAATTGCATTGAACTCTCTTTATTTGAAAAATCGGTTTGTTTGAGATGAATTTGGTTTCTCCTAAAATGCTGGTACAGTTTCTTTGCAATAAATACTTGTTTAGATTGAAATCGGTTAACTTGAAAAACTCTGTTAATTTGAAGTGATTTTGGGGTCCGCTGAATACAAAGCTTATAGCAGTTTTGATAACGGTTACATTAGAGTTGCCGATTGCGACGCGTGGACTCAAGTGACTGACTATATACGAAGTCTAGCATGTGTTAATTTTTCACAGGTGATTTGATGTTGGTGGACCTGTACAAATTTAATTATGTGTTGTATAGATAAAAAAATAATCATTGAGCATTTCTCACTGGAACATATTAGTTGCCATTTTTATTTTCTAACTACAGCATTAAGACCGACATGGATAAAATACGCAGAGGTGTCTTTTGTAAATTGGTATGTGGAGAATACGGCTGTGTATTGACCAAAATATTTCGATAAGATATTTTATAAAGCAATATGCAATATATTGGATTCTTAAATAAGTCTAGCAAAAAGGTCTTGTAAATCATTTAATGCATAAATTTGATAAAAACTGGGTGTTTTATTACCAAATTGGAAGTTCATATGTCTCACTGTCTTTACAAAGAACACTTCAAATTCAAACTTTTAATGACTGTAAAACTAATATGTTAAAATATAGTTGTCTATGAATTTTGCAATAGTTAATTATGATGTGCTACCTCCTTAATGTTTATTTTATTATTGACCATTTTTAATTAAAAACAGTTAAAAATTATCTTTGGTGACTGAAATTCCCAACTTTTTCACAGAATTATAAGAAAAACTGTCTGACCAATACGTATTGAAAGTTAGTTTGTCGATACGATAAATTCCTGAATATCGATACGTATTGATTAATCGATATATTGACACAGCCCTAGTGGAGAAAGTGCCGGAGTAAATAAATCCAATGTAATTAAGTAAATGGAAAATAAACTTCTTGAATTGAAGTATATGAAGCATATGTTTTCAATGCTGATGAGACAGGGCTGTTCTACAGATGTGAACCTGACAAATCATTGCATCTATGCGCCAATGTTTAGGACGAACTTTTTTCGTGTATAAATAGTCTTGATAGTTTTCTAACACAAATCAAAAAAAAAAAAAAAAAAAAAAAAAAAAAAAAAAAAAAATATTTAGGACTTTTTTGAAAAATAGAGATACGTACATTTCTGAAACACTGCATGTAATGTTATGTAAAAAATATGAATTCTCACATGTATATTTTTTTTTACTGTACAGTCAAGCCTTGTTACCTCGAACTTGAAGGGACCGAGAAAAAACTTTGAGATATCTGAGGATTCGAGATATCGAGGGTAAAATACTTAACAAATAAGTGGTTGGGACAGCAAATCACTTTGACATATCAATGGTTTTTTTCGAGATATCAGTGTTCCAGATAGAGAAGTTCAAATGTATCTACATTTTTTATGTAATTCATAGCACACAGATATAATGAAATTCGGTTAATTTGAAATAAATCTCAAGGTCCCTTAAATTTCAATGTAAACGAGTTTGACTGTATATGATATTTTACAAAAGCCAAAGTGCCAAGCAATGCAAGTGCAAAGTATCAAATCCATTCGTCTTACAGTTCTCAGGATCTATGGTATGACAGACAGACAGACACCATGTAAAGTGATCTCTAAGTGTCGCTTTTACCAAAATTTTTTTTCATAATTATTTTGTTTTCTTACCTGTCTGAAGAGCATGACAAAGGTTACATAGGTGATAGGTAGAAATACATGTATGGGATGTATTGGTGTAATCTTTTTAGTGAGCAGATTGCATCATGCATTGTTTATCTGCCGTTGCTGATCTTTAACAAGGAAGACCTCTCCTGAAATAAGAAAAATTATTTTCAAAAGTGAAGTTACCTGTTACTCTTAAAGGGACATAGACACAGATTTGACATTTTGAAATATTTTCTCAAATTGTCTGTATTATATCATGACATATATGTGGCTATAGCATTTCACATGGAAATATAATAAAGAGCTTATTTTATCTGTTATATTATTGAAACTATGAATTTCAGGATGTGTTTGATTGACACATCCTTGCACTTTCACAAGTGAACTTCATCCTTAATACTTAAGAAAAGTAGGTTTTTTGATACATATTAATGAAAAAATATAAAAAAGATATAATCCAGAAAATTAAGAGTAGAAATGAGAGAAAGCAGAAGCAACTAACCAGTATTGTCAGTCCATGCTCAGTGATGTGTGCAGAGTTTAAAAATTGAACACAAAACAGTTTACGTTCCATCGGGTGTGTTCAATTTGTTAAACTCTGCACACATCACTGAGCACAGACTGACAATACTGATGAGTTGGTTTTGCTTTCTCACATTTCAACTGTGAATTTTCTGGATTTTATCATTAATTTTTTTCATTAATTTAAAACACAACAAAATTTCTACTTTTTTTAAGTATTAAGGATGAAGTTTACTTTGTGAAAGTGCAAGAATGTGTCAATCAAACGCATCCCTAAATTCGTAGTTTCAATGATTTCCAGGTAAAATAAGTTTTTTTATGATATTTCCCTGTGAAATACTATAGCTACACATATGTCATGATATAGTCCGAAATTTTAGAAAATATTAACTTCAAATCTGAGTCTATGCCCCTTTAAAGGTCATACACAAGGAAATAATTTCACTATATTTTACTATTAAGCCTTGATTAAAGTAATCAATTAATATGACCCTCACTAGATAAAAGATGAAGAAAAAATGAATAATGCTTGGACAAAAATTTGAGACCAGAAATAAAATATATTCCTTATGCAGCTTTTAATAGAGAAAATTGATATTATTGATAGGTAAGATACCTTCCATCATGTGGATTTCACATGCTGATAAACAGTTTACACACCATCCAGGAAGTTGCATCATGAGCACCTAAAATAAGAGTATTCCTTGAATTCATTGATTGCCCACGAGTATAATATTGATATTTGAGTCAAAAATAAATACTGTAGGCCTAAAATGAGAAACCGAAAAAGAAAACCTGAAAAGAAATTGTCTCTTTCTACAAAGAACAACAACTAAGTTCATTTTGATTTGCTATTTCCTGGCTCTCTCTCTCTCTCTCTCTATATATATATATATATAAGCTTAGCATGGCATAACAAGGGTCTACTGGAAAGAAAGGGTAAATTATTCATATGGTAAAAAATTAACAAATCAAACTTTGTAAATAAATACCCAAGCATTTGGTTTTGTCTTTGATTTCGTCAAAATGTTATTGATCTCCAAAAATTTTTGTTTGTGTGTGCTGAGCCACAGTAAAATTTTAAATGTTGTAGAACTGTATATCCATATCTAGATTCAGCAAGAAATTTCTAGTCATCTGACAAGTTAATTTCACAGTTTCACCAAATTTTGATTAACAATGTTATGGTTAATAAAATATTATACAACTTAAGCTTATAATTATACTATTAAAGTATGAAAGAAGCTTTCAGAGAAATTTCATTTTCTGGCCCACAGTAATGAAGCTTTCAGAGAAATTTCATTTTCTGGTCCACTGATTCTTGAGAAGAATTTGTTTTAAAGATGCCATTAAATTTACAACAATTCTCAATTATTTCCCCTTGAAAAGGGATGTAGCCCTTCATATGAACAAACTTGAATTTCCTTTACCCAAGGATGCTCGGTGGCAAGTTTGGTTTAAATTGGCCAAGTGGTTCTGGAGAAGAAGATGAAAATGTGAAAAGATTATGTCACCGCCTCCAACAACAACAGTGACAGACAACAGACAAATTTTGATCAGAAAAGCTCTCTTAAGCCTTTGGCTCAGGTGTGCTAAAATAAAAGATGGAGAAATAAAATTTATTGTACCATAGGACTGGCGGTAAATTTAGAATTTGCTTTCATGTTGCTGTGGTGTATTTGCCAGAAGAATCACAGTTTTTTTTTAAGTCACGCCCACCTTTTGGCATCAAGCCATACTGTGTCAAGACCTTGACTAATGCATGAATGATGTCAATTTCAAGACCAAGGCAATGGCTGATGAATGAATTAAGTCAACATTTCAAATTTCAAAAATACTAACATTATTTAGCTTGTCGGTGTCCGCTTCATAAATGGTTCTGTATGTTTTCTCCGCGTATCCTTAATCAGTAAATGATATGTCCTATCTCGAATTCTCGTCATTTTCTTTCCCGTCTCCAAATACATATAGCAAATTTCACATCAGAAGTCCCCGCATTTTTTTTTACTTCCAATACCATTTCAAAATTTCATTAAAATGTCACAAATCATTTCATTTTTTTCTGTACGCCGATTGCCATAAAGAAAAAGTTCAATGCCGATGTTTCCCATATCCATCCCCCCTTTTTAAAAAAAAAAAAAAACGATCTAGAAAGATAACTTTTCTTTCAGAGTTGACGGCTTGAACTTAAAAGCCTACAATCGCTACCCCTATACCTGTATCTGACAAAAATCATGTTTTCTGCGTCTTCAACATTTCAAAGGTACAATATCTTCACACGTACCAATTCCGATTTTTTTTTTATCAATAACTTGTAGTAGCAGTGCCGCAGTAAAGTATGATCCTTGCAGATGGAGACAGCTATTTATACAGACTCCGGACCGTGTCTTGACACCTCGTAGTAGGCGGTGCTAATTATCAACTCGCTTTTCTCTCATTGGTCCTCTGGTACAAGTAACTTACACAATAGATATTAATTGGTTAGCTGTAAATACACTCACAGTTTTTATTCACTCGGGGCTCCGCCCCTCGTGAATGAAAAACTGTGAGTGTATTTACAGCTAACCAATTAATATCTATAGTGTAACTATAACTTGTTAATGACAGTTTAATTTATGTATTTTAAAACTCTTTCTCAAATACAATGGATATGTCTAAGTGCTCAATTTCAGTGAGTTTATGAACTTTACCCTCTATTCTTGAAACCTCAATTATCTGTTTCTCAAAGGGTTTTTTTTCAGTCCCATCTATTGCCATAATAGGCTTATCTCCAGGGGTCCTCATGACTAGCAAATTACATAAGCAATAATGTTTTTGGATATAAATATATTAAAATAATAAAACTGAATAATTAAATGACAAGATATGCATTCGACACTGGGTGACACAATTGGGGAAAATATTCTGGCATGTTACCCTCGAAGTAAGTGACTGTGAAATTTACTTGTCTGAACATAACTTTTACTTGTATGAAAATATTTCATAAAAGACCTATTTAACAATTTGAAAAAATATTGTACATTACAATAGTCTATAATACATTCATTGAGTCTGTTTTTGATATTTTGAGTGGACACATCTATTGCAAATTACTAAACTGTATCATCCTATCCTAAAGTAGATGTAAATTATGTTATATAATTACATGTATGAAAGAAAAAAAGTAACAAGAAGAAATAGCTGACTATATGACTTCAAATTTTTCTTTGCCTTCTTTTGCTTATACTTTGTAGCCTAAATTGTCTTTTGCTAAAGCTCTCCTGCCAGATAATAAAAACCCAAATTTCCTTTAGTAAAAGTACATGTTTCAAAGTTACTGTAGTTCTAAGTAGTCAACTTCCTGGAACATCAAATATTAAAATTAAAATTGTGACAAATGCCTGAAAAACATTAGATATTTCAGACAAGTTTCATAGTACAGTAACATTGATCCTGATCAAGTTTGACAACCAGGGCCGTCATTATTACGAGCAGGATCAATGTTTAACTATTTACAAACCACATGCATGGCATGTTTTCATTTTGAACCTCTGATAAAAAGTTGACAACAAATTTTAATTCTTTAAGTTTTCATGCTCAGCTAAAAAAAATTCTTCCTAGAAAAATATCCCTTGTCAAATCGGACAAGTGGTCAGCAATTATCACTTGTTCATGAAAAATTTTCACTGGTACTGGACAAGTGGATGAGCGTACAATTCGAGCCCTGGAACTATATGCCCCATTTTTTGTTTACATTTGCTTAGCAACCAACAGCATTAAATCTCGAACCCGAGCTATTATAATATGTAGCATAAAAGCACACGAGGATGATCAAGAGGGTGTTACAACTGTTTCCATTGTTTGTTATATTTGTTTCTGGCGTTTGTTATGAACTGTTTCTGATGTGATGTGAATTCTTCATGGTATATATAGTGAAACTTTATATTTGTGATAAAAACATGATAAAAAAATTATTAAAAAATGTTTTTCAAAAATGTAAATGATACTAGTAGTATAAAAACTCATTTTTAAGCATTTTAGAGTAGATTATAAACATCGAACCTAATGGGCCCTAGAAAAAACTTTGTGATATCCTACGATTCAAGATACTGAAGTTAAAATATGTTCTTGTAGCATAGCATAAATTTTCCATCTTTAACGCTCAGTTACACCTCGATAAATATTGCTAATGAGAGGAGGAGCGCAATTAATATTTTTATCTTCATGATAACACAAATCTAAATAAGTCAGTTATTTTTATAGCTAATTTAGCCTTCATTAAGTTCAACAAATTTCTTTAAATCTGTTCAGAATCAGACAAGTAAAAAATATTTATGCATTCGGACACAGGGTTTAACATTTATAAGGCATGTCTGTTAGACTAGTAAAAGTTTGGTCCTGTCTAAAAATTGAGTGTACATCTGACATGTAAATATAACAAGTGTACAGCATGTGTATTTTATTCATCTGCACTCATGTACACACAGGATTCGAAATACCCCAACTGTAGGGTCTACAAATACAGTCATGACTTTAATGATTTTGGGTTAAAATCAAAAACAAGTAATTGTATTTGGAAGTATTCATCAATACTAATATGTCAAGTTTCATCCACCAATATAATGCTACAACA